CAATATTTTGTTTATTTTTTATACATATATTTTATTTTTAGTTTCTGGTAATTCCTCGAAAGTCATCACTCAATATTTACATAAACATTTTTTTTAATTTTCAAAACTTTGATGTTGTTATTTTAGGTCGGCTACTTCCCCAAGGAGTACGTGAAGGAGCATCCACCGATGAGCGATGAACTTTGATATTACAATTATGTAATTTATGTTGCGCAACCAACGGACCAACATGCAATTGCATCGGATAATAGAAGTTTAGCGGCTGACAGCTGCGTACCCACCACTAGCAGAGTGATAATGCCCAGAGGTGAGCAGTAGTCGCTCAAACCTCGCGCTGATTAAGAGAAAAAAAATTAGAAAAAACGGGAAGAGAACAATAATTGTTGGTTGTTAACGGTTTGCTGTGGCAACTAGCTGCACGCTGCGTACACATAAATGCTTGTAGAGTGCCAGTGTGCATACGACAGCACATAAAAGCATAAGCAAAAACAAAAACAAATAATAATAATAATGTTATTGATTGTGCCAATAGCTTTTTATATACAATTTTAATTACGTAATAGTGTATTTATGTAGTTACTTATACACACGCATATACATATATATGTATATGTATATTTTTAAACAACTTTGTTATATCGTTTTTTTATACTAAATTGCATAATTGTGTAGTTTTTAGGTAGTAAGTACACTTTTAATTCATATTTTAGAAATTTAATGTGCGTGACTATATGTTTAACTTAAATAGCTTATCTGACTTAGGTTTTTATCAAATTTTTTGATATAGTTTTATACAAAACAAAAATATAATACAAAATTTACGATAATAAAAGAAAATAAAAATTATTGACTAATTAAAGAGGAGCTAGTAATTCTTATATATATACATATATGTATGTATATACATATGTTTATATATATATGTATATGTAAGGCGTGCGCATGAGGAAAATAAGCTTTAAAATGTTATATTACTTAGCGTTTACAAGTATATAAGCAACGATATACTAAATAGTGATAAATAAAAACGCAAAAAAAAAAAAAAAAAAATAATAATAATAATGAAAATGCTGTGCGCGCGCGCGGCTGCAAATAGTCGTAGTGAAAACTCAAATATGAATATTTATGTATAACTGTATATTGCATTTCCAGCATAATTTTCAATTCAGTATCTCAACACAAAACTACAGTGCACAAGATCTAAACACGAATATTACAAATTTGTAGTTAATTGTGCACAAGAAAACATTGAAGATCTACATATTTACAACTATAAATATATATAACCATATACAGTTATGTGAAATAGCCGCATACAATAACAAACGTTGATTGCTATCGCACATAATGACATACTGGTATATACATATATTGAAGCGCCAAGTAATTTTATATATACATACATACATATACAAGGCAAAAAGCATATACATGCCAACATACATAAAAACAAATTTGATAAAACATTACTTTTATTGAAAATTATTGAAAAATGACGCGGAACATTTATTTGAAAACGGGCGTAGAGTAAATGGTGAAGTGTGTGTGGCATTTGTGTGACGTAGCTGAACGATTTTTGAACGTGATCGCATATATAAGTATGTACATATGTACACCGTAGTGTATTATATAGTAAACCGAGCCGGACCTAAGAGTGCAACTCTCGAAATTTAGAATGCAGGGAAATTATTAAGCGCACCTGAAACGAATATCTCCATATATACATATATAAATACAAAGTATAAAGCATAAATTAGTCATTTTAAAATTATAAAAATAAAATTAAAAAAGGTACTGAAAATACCATATAATATGAACTACTAAATACACATACAGCCCTACATGTATTCAGTATGGTCAGTTAATGTTTTTTTTGTGTGAAAGTTAAAATAAAAAAAAATTAAATTTTTTTTACACATACCTTGTAATAATATTGGTTTTCAAAAATAACATTTTTTTCTGATAAAGTCTCTTAAATTTGTTTACTCTAAAAAGAAACGTAATTTTTAAATCAAATCACATTTTCTTTGAATTTTTGCTAGCCATATTATTATGGACCTTAGCCTTTTACTGTCATGAAATTGCTTTTTGTTAAACATATCAAATTTTGTGACCCTTGAAAACCATTGGAGACCTACAGTTATCAGCTAGTAGAAGAAGTAGTAGTTAGAACCCTGCCAGGTGATGAACTCCTCTCCAAGCAGTTTCTGTTAGGGTACTTTCGGAGAAATCATCCCTGTAGTGACCTCCTCCTAGGAGCATCAAGAGGTCCTTCCTCAACTACTTCGACGACATAAAACGCAACAAACTTCAGACATGCACTGACCGCCATTCACAGTGGAGCCATTACCACTTTCACCGACTCCCTCTCAGTGAATGGCGTACTTGGAGTCAAACCACTACCCCTTGCAGACGAACAGCTCGAGTTGCCGCAAGAATCGAGAGTGATCCTTGCGAAGCTTCGTTCTGGAAAATGTAGCAGGTTAAACACCCACTTATCCAGAATCGCCCCTGACACATATGTCCAGCGTGCAATGAGTTTCCGCATAACACTAATCACCTTTGCACGTCCTGCTAATCCTACTCATCTAACACCCCTCTTTTTATGGTCCGTTACAAAAACAACCAATTTTAACTTTTCGGGGTATTGGACCAAAATCTGACCTTTGAACACTTATAATGTATTTAATAAAATTTTCTTCAAAAACAAAATCAAATTTGGTCTATGCTATTTTTATGTTCTGATTTCAAAAAGGCGAAAGTACTCTCTTAGAGGCTCACTTACTATGACAGGCTTAAAATGGGGGATTCAAGTAAATATTTCAAGCTACTAGTGATCCTTGATAGCGCTAAAAAGCAACTGCTCCACTACACAATCATTTCGGCCTTTTCCGTGAATGAAGTCTATGGTCTAAAATGTTTGATAGCTGATCCAAAAATCACACTTGTACTACTCTACGCATTTCTTTGTGATGTCATAAAAAGAGAACTTCTCTAATTCGTACTTATAAGTCAGTAAAGCGCCTTGTGACTAATAGAAATTTGTTGAGCCGTTTAATATCTATTCAGTTCGGTGGGTCATCTAAAAGTGTGAGCTCCCAAGTGTTAAAGCCTTGATTTCCCAAACGGAAGTGCTGAGATGATTCCATCTCGTCTTCTCCCGTACAGCTTCTGCAGTTGCCTGCGAGTCTTCTGTACCCAGCCTTGAACGGAAGGTTAGTGCGCCTATAGCTACTACCACCTACCTCAATTGAATTTTGAAAAGTGTAGTTTTGAGAAAAAGGCGGTAGAGATAAACTGATACTATAACTCCAAAACTATTTGAAATATCGATTTAAAATTATAGCGTGTTATATTTAAAGGCATGACCAATCGAAATATTGAAGGAATTTCATAATTTCATGAAAAAATATTAAATTTTTTTTATTTTTTTTTTATTCAAAAATATTTTTAATGCTAATAGCCATAACCCTAATGCCAAAATAATTTGTAAAATTGTAAAATCTCTCATTAATATATTCACGTAAAAAAAATTATATCGATTTTTTTCATAATCATTCTTCGTCTAAAATTGCTAAAATCACATTTGTTATAAAAAAGTCTTGCAGCATTTCTACAATTCTACAAATTCACTATTAATTCTATGTTATAAAACCAAGAATTGTTAAGAACACATAAGCTTTTTCCACACTTAAGAAAGTTGCAAACATTCCTCAAAGCACTCTACTTTTTGTGTCGCTTATATAGAAAAAAATCATACAAACAAAAAAATTAAATTCAAACAATGCAAAAATATTATAAAATTCCGCAAAAGAAGAAATTATTGCTCACGTTTTTCACAGCCAGAGGAGCAAATCGTATTGACGCACATTTCCACAAGCAAACAAATATATTACTTAAAGCAAAGTAACAAAAATGCAAGAAAGCTAAAAAATTTCTAAATGTTATGCAAAATGCAATGTACTCTCATGAATAGCAACTAATTAATGTTCATACTAGGAGTGTTCTAATTTTATTTTTACTTTTTTAAATTTTAGTTTAATAGTAATTGTTTTAATTAAAGTTTTTTTATTCGTTAATATTTACC